AGGTGGTTCTCACTCCTGATAGGGTCAGTTTCCCATGTTGTGGGGAGAAGCAGAAGATCAATCTATCCCTGCCATATAGCAGTGTTCTATGGTCATCCCAAGAACAAACATTCCAGTGAGAGTAATTAGTGAACCTTACTAGGCAATTTGAGCAGGAACTGGAGAGCACACGTTAGATGATAACTAGCAATTGCTGGTGAATCTTTTAGCTTTAATGATGAAACTAGAGTTAATTTAGGAGATGCCATTATTCTAAGGAAATGCATAAGGGTAACAGATAAGCACACACAGATATTTAGCAAATAAGGCTAAATAAATATTCCTATCTCTGCAATCTAGGTGGTTAATATGAATACAAGTATTAACTTTTCCACAGGCTTAAATTTTTTTCATTAACAATGAAAACGACAGGTATAGATTTAAATGAAATATATTTTCCCTTACTTCAATAACTGACATATCTATGGAGTGTAAGTTTCCACTGCAGTATTTGCAGGTTCTAGTCAGAGTTAAACCTGGAAACCCTTTGATGCTCAAATAGACTCAGTACACATTTTATTAAGCAAAAAGAAACAGTATCTCTCTTGAGGACTTCAACCGTCCTAGAAGCATGCCCTAGTATCTATCAACCTGTACCGCTGGCCTCTGACCAGCATCCGAGACACCAGCATCTGTACCGCTGGCCTCAGACCAGCATCTGAGATAGTTAAGGATTATTGTGCCAACCTGGCTGATAAATACATGTGGGATTAATTGAAGGGTGGAAAGACAAATGGCTCTGTGAGCCTCGCTCTTCTGGTTCTCTGGTCTGTAGATCTCTCATGGTAGGACCAGTGTGTGGCTGCCTCAGCTGGCAAGGGTCAGTTCCTGCGAGACATCCCTGAGGAGAAGCCACATGGACTTAACCTGATGTAGCCCTGGGTGCTGGAAAAGCCGTGCTGAGGTGCTCATACCACCACTGGATTCAAAGACTTTCTACACACTGGCCTGTGATCCTCCTGCATTCAGCATCATTGTGTGTGCTTTGTGAGTTTGAGGAGGACTTTGTAGATCGGTGTTGGATATATGGGCTGTTGGACTTATGGGCTTGGACTGGACTAGGTTGGGATGCTTTCTGAATGCACACTTACCCTTTATATAAAACTCTCTCTTATACATAGGTGAGTTTCTGTGGATTTATTTCTCTAGTCTACCCAGACTGACACACCATCCAAGCCTCATCCCCGAGAAAAACATACAAGTCCAATGCTTGCCTATCTAAGTTCTTAATGAGCCACATTTTGTGTAGAAAATGTTTTATAAAAATTTCAATTCATTTATAATTCTAACATCAAGATTTTCACTAGAGTAGATTTTACATGTGTTATGTACTTGTTAAAATATATGAGGAAATATGCTGACTTTTCAGTTCTCACACGTACTCCTTCTCTCTGTCTCTTATGCATTGCTCATCAGATTTTCTGAATACAAAGAATTTCTCCTAGCTGAGCATTATAGCTAAATCTCTCTTTCCTAGTTTTCACCCAAGTGAAGTGGAAAGAAGTGGAGAATGGACAAATGAGAGGTATAAAGGGCTCCTCTCTTAAACCTGAGTGTTTCTGATGTATTCAGTGTAGGGATAAACAAGAGCCCTGCTTCTTTGACAGCTCAGTGTATTCATGTGGTCTTGACTGGATACCAATCTACATAGTCCAGTGGCAACCTGCACACCAACAGGAATCTCAACAGCAGATAAAGAATGATATTAATCCAGGACCAGTATATAAGATATACCAAAGAGTGTGATGCCTGCCTGTCAGCTTGGCTAAGCTCTAATTCCAAATGGTTTAACCAAATAATAAGCTAGTTGCTGTTCATAATGTAATTTAATATAATATAATCATCTTCCATAACTCAATTTAATCAAAGAAGGGTGTTTCCTTAGGGTATGCTCTGCCTCCAGATAACAGACAAATATTTGGTCAGCAGTCACTCTCTCCCCGCATGTACTCTTCCCGTCATATCATCCATAAATCTTGGGATACAAGCCCGAAGTCTTCAGCCTGGTGCCTGACTTACAGATTCTGGATTTGCCAGCCTCTACAATGATGTGAGCCCATCCTTGAAGTAAATGCTCATTCACTGACATGTGTATCAAAAGGATTCTGTTTCTCCAGAGATGGTAAGAAAGACAAAAAGCAAGTGTACATCCTGGTGAAGAAGTTCTAATTTGTATCAGGACCCTTATCATAACTAGGCCTTCCCCATAAAACAAAAGTGAAAAGGAGAGAGAGGGAGGTGCTGAGACAATAATATATGGGAGTTTACTTTGTCAACAACTCACTTTATATAATACCCCGACTTTGAGTTCTGAACAGTACTAAGGACCGCAGTGCTAGGAGTCTCACCTGTCGTGGTGACTGACAGGTAAGAACAGTGGTGCTTTGAAGGAGGTGGGTGACAGCCTGACCACAGCTGACACATGGATTTATGTTCTTGATGTTGGTACTACCTTGTTTTGCTGGTGATTAGTTTATGCCTGACCCACACCTCACTCTGCTTTAATTGATGACCAGGCTGTATTGAATAAATGGGCGGTGCCAATTCTTACCAGGTAGTCACAGATTGGTTGGAATGCATTTGTTCCACACACATAAAGAGTGTTGGCATCAAGTGGTTGTAGCACCCGGATGTAATTCAGGCATTCTGTCTATAAGAAAGAAAAATAAACACATCAACAACTATCCAGCTTTACACACCTCTCTCACTCTCTATCAAGTTACCATTTCAAATTGGCTGGCATATTTTAATTCCAAGATCCTACAAGCTAAGTGTCAATGCCAGCTTGTGCCATTGTAAACTCAGACGAGCTCCACACTAACTGCTGACTTATTTCGACCTCCAGATGCCCACAGTCTTGGCACCAATTCCAACATGTCCATCTACATTGTGAGGGTCACAGTGATGCACCATTAGTCCTTGGGCAGCCTTATATCCCGGGCTGGCCTGACGAATTCTGTCTCTGCAGTGTTCACAACGTGTTAAAGTGCCAAATGGGATTTTATTTCAGTTACTTACACTCAGCAAAGACCTTGTGATCGGAAAGAGATAGAAGCTCTCTTCAACTTTTGCTGAGGACACACACGACCAACCATGTTTTTAACTTTCACTGAACGTTTGTGTTTCCCTTTCATTTTGTTGACAACATGCTGAGAATGGACACTTGCGCATTACTCCCTGTAATTTAACATGTGACTAAGGTCATATCTAGCTTTTCTTTCCTGCTACATACTGAGGGGACTGTGTATGTAGGTCTGGGTAAATCCCCCAGAGGGAGTAAATGGAGGCCCAAAGCTGTGCTTTATAACTAAAAGGCCCCAAAAGAGGAAAACAAAGATGGCATTAAAAAACCCACAAACTATTTCAGGCTGAAACTTACTTGGCTTATGTGCCATAGTCTGAAATTATCTCCGCTTAGTAAAGTTTTGTCATGTTTTTCAACTGGTTGGAAATAAATCGCAATTCCCTAAGTTTTTCTAAACTGGGGTTGGGTCGGGGTATTCTTATTCTTGGTGCAGTTTCTGTACAGGTGAGTGCAGAGCACATTATCCTCCTTAGTTCGAAACGACTCTTAGTGTCACCTGTCATCAGAATGAAATGCTTGCTTTGCTCTCATTTCTCATGGAAAGTGCTTAGTACTTTACTAAAGGCACTAAAAAAATAAAATTCCCTTGTGTTTTTGTTTTCAAATTAATTTTTAAAATATTCAATAACTCTGGAATTGACTGAATCACCTGCCAAAGATGTAGACTCATGCATGACAATGTCCTAAGCACAGAAGCCCTTGTTGTTAAGTCACTTGACTCATAGCAACACTGCGTACAACAAAATGAGACACTGGCAAGCTCTCATCATCCTCACGATTATTCTTCTGTCTCACCCCATTGTTGCAGCCACTGTGTCAATCCATCTCCTTAATGGCCTTTCTATTTTCTCTGCTCTTCTACTTTACCAAGTATGATGTCCTTCTCCAGTGATTGGCATCTCCTGACAGCATGATCAAAGTGTTTGGGACAGTTTCAACATCCTTGCTTCTAAGGAGCATTCTGACCATAGTTACTCCAAGCAGCTTTGTTTACTTAGTGGTCCGTGGGTACTTCAATTTTCTTCAACAACACCATAGTCCAAATGCAACACGTTTCTTCAGTCTTCCTTATGCAGTGTCCACCTTTCATATGCATATGAGGCAATGATAAATACCATTGCTTGGGTCAGGTGCACTCTGCTCCTCAAAGTAACATCCTTGTTTTGAACACTTTAAAGAGATGAAAGAGGTCTTGTGCAGCAGATTTACCTAATGCAATGTGTCATTTGATCTCTTGACTGCTGCTCCCATGAGCACTAATAGCAATTAAGCAAGACAAAATCCTTGACTTCAATTGTTTCTCTGTTTTTCATGATGTTACCTATTGGTCCAACTGTTAGGATTTTGGTTTTCATTTCATGAAGTTGTAATCCATACTGAAAGCGGCAAGCCTTGATCTTCATTAGCAAGTGCTTCAAGTCCTCCATTTCAAGAGGCAAGGTTATGTCATATTGAAAGTTGTTGATAAGCCTGCTGAGGAGGTTAGTTTATTCTGCCAACCTGGCCAATAAACACATGTGGGGTTAATTGAAGAGCAGAGGGATAAATGGCTCAGTGAACCTTGCCTTACTAGTTCTGGGGTCTGCTGCTTTGTGATGATCGGACCAGGGTGCTGCTGTCTTAGCCAATTCCTTGCTTTAGCTGGCAAGGCTCACTTCCTGCAAGACATCCCTGAGGAGAAGCCACATGGACCTACCCCGATGCAGCCCTGGGTCCTGGAGCAGCCGTGTGGAGACCCCTGCTAGCGCTGAGATGCTTACATGTTCACTGACTCGGCTTTCCTCCTACAGTCAGCATCACTGCATCTGTTTTGTGAGATGGAGGAGGACTTTGTGGGTTGGTGGTGGACATATGGGTAAATTTTGGACTTGTGAGCCTGGGCAGCACTGGGTTGGGATGTTTTCTTGATGCACACTTACCCTTTATATAAAACTCTCTCTTATACATGAGTTTCAGTGGATTTGTTCCTCTAAAGTACCCAGACTAACACACTTTCCTTCAATCCTTATACTACATTCTTCTTCAGACAATCCAGCTTTCCTGATTGTTTGCTCAGTATACAGATTGAATAAGTATGGTGAAGGATACAACCTGGAGACACACCTTTCCTGATTTTAAGCTATGTGGTATGCCCTTGTTCTGGTCACACAACTGCCTCTTATGCACAGGTTCCACATGAGCACAATGAACTTCTCTGGAATTCCCATTCTTGTCATAACTATTTTCATTTGTTAAGATTCACACAGCCTTAGCATAGTCAAATACAAGTAAACATCTTTCTGGTATTCCCTGCTTTCAGCCAAGATGCATCTCACATCAGCAATATAACCCTTGTTCCAAGTCCTCTTCTGAATCTTTCCTGAATCTCTGGCATTTCCCTGTCCGTGTATTCCTGCAATAATTGTTGGATCAAGTTCATCATAATTTTACTTGCATGTGATATTACAGATGTCATTTTATAGTCTATGCATTCTGTTGGATCACCTTTCTGTGGAATAGTACAAATATGGATCTCTTCCAATCATTTGGCCAAGCAGTTGTGTTCCAACTTTTTTGGCACAGATGACTGAGTACTTCCAGTGCTTCATCACAGTGTTGAACATTTCAATTGGTATTCCATCAACTCCCGGAGCCTTGTTTCCAGGTAATACTTTCAGTGCAGCTTGGACATCTTCTGTCAGTACCATTAGTGTTTGATTATATGCTACCTTTTGAAATGGTTGAATAACTAGTTCTTTGTGGCACAGCAACTATGTGTATGTTTTTCTGCTCTCTTTTGTTGCTTTATTCAATATTTGCCCATAAAATCTTTCAGTATTGTAACTTGAGGCTTGAATTTTTCTTAAGTTCTTCCAGTTTAAGATATGTGACTATATCAAAACTTTTCTGGTTTACTAATTCAATCCTTGTACATTTCATTATAATAGTTTAGTTTGTTGTCTTAAGCTGCCCTTTGAAATTTTCTGCTCAGTTCTTTTACTTCATCATTTATTCCATGTGCCTTAGCTACTTTAACAGCTAAGTAAAGGTTCAAAGAACTGAATAATCTTTGAAATGAAGAGCAAGGTTCAAAGCTCTTCTGACATCGACTTTGATCTTTTCTGTCATTTTAATGACCTTTTGCTTTCTTCATGTATAATATTCTTGATGTTCATCAGGTCTTCTGTCATTAATGTTTACTACATAGCTTGAGATGCTCTCAAAATTCTGGTGTTTGGCTCTGGTGGACTTGTTTTAATTTTCTTCAACTTCAACCTGTACTTGCATATATATCAGTAATTGATGGTCTGTTTCACCGTCTTCTTGGGCCCCATTTTAGCTGCTGATATTGAGCAACATCATCTCTTCACACAGATGTAGTTAATTTGCTTTCTTGGATTTGATCTGGAGAAGGCCATATACATAGTTGCCTTTAGTGTTGCTGAAAAAGGTCTTTGTGATGAACAAGTCGTTAGTCTTGAAAAATTCGACCATATGATCTCTAGCTTTGTTTCTAACATCAAGGCCATGTTTTCCAAGTACTATTCCTTCCTCTTTGCATTCTAAATATCTATGCATCTTGATTGCATATTTTATCAAGTTCATACTGAAAAGGTTCATAGAATTCAATTTCTGCACTACTAGTTTTAGGGGTTGGTATACAGATTTGAACAATAGTTGTACTGATTGTATCCTTTGTATTTGGATAGGCATCAATCACACATAGTACTGTGTTTCAAGATCGATCTTGAAAGGTCCTTTTGGATGAGGAATGCAATGCCATTCTTCTTGATTGTGTCATGCCTGGTATTGTAAACCATGATTTTCTGATTCAAAATGGCCAATAACATTCCATGTCATGTAACACCTAGAATATTGATCTTTAAGTGTTCCATTTCAAAAAGATTTAGTGAGCCACAGAACAAAACAAAATGCAACATCACTGCTATTGAGGGAATTCCAACTCATAATGCCCTATAAGACACAGTAGAACTGTCCATTCAAGTTTCAAAGGTCACGAACCTTCTCAGAAGCAAAAAACCTCATCTCTCTTCCTCATAGTGGCTGGTGGTTTTGAACTGCTGACCTTGGACTTAGCAGCCCAAAGTGCGACCCACTATACCACCAAGGCTCTTTATGGCCCACAATGGTGCCCCAAACCTTGAAGAAGGGGGACATTTATCCAGTGCTGAGAGACCAGATGTCTCCCAGACATCTTGAGTGATGCACTTGTGCAAACACACTTACACTGTTGGGATACACAATCCTGCACTTAAACATGAGTCAGTAGGCACTGGAAATTGCTTTTCATCGTCAAAGTTTCAGAGTGAATCACAGTGACTAGATGCAATTCAGTTAATCTTTTAAAAGTCTTCATCAAATTTCTGCATTCGTTTGTCACTAACTTTGAGAAACCTGAGTCATAATGAGTAGATCAACCCTATGATAATTCTGAAACAAAATGTGTTGTCCACATTTCAGAAAGGTTAGCATTCAAAAGATTAAAACAACTGAGAAAAACAAACAAACTGAGAAATATACTTCCCTCCCCCTCTTTTGGGTTGTTGTTTTGCTTCAGCTCAGAACAGGAATTACCTGTTTTGATTTTCCTTTTTCAACACATTTTGCTTTTTTGTCTTCAGAGACCTTCCAATATACCTGTTAGGATGAAAGACAGCCCATTTCAGTGTACATTATCCTTCTTAGAGTCTTAGAGCCAACTAAAAAGGAGGGGAGAACAGGGACATGGGTAGTCAGGGAACAGGGCACTAACCCACCTAAGAGGAGGGTATTGTTTATGTCTCCACAGGAAAGGGAGAGAGGGACCAGATCTCAACCTGGTTCGCCAAGGCTTGAATGCAACATACCAGCATGAAGCAGCTAACCAATAGAGAGGTCTGTGGGGCTGGCCCCGATCCCAGATGCATGGATCCCCCCTCCCCAGAAGAATGAACTACAGAGGACACCACTGAAGCTACAGTTTGGAGACAGGGGCGCGTCTGCTCAGAACACATGGGAGCAAATTAAGAGGGAAGGAGAGAAAGAGTGAGTGGAACGCAACGTGGCCCACCAATCCCTGAGGACAATATTCCTGCTCAGAGCAGCCAATACACAGAGATAACCATAGGCCCAGTCCCACCAAGAGACACGGCATCCCCTCACTGACCCATAGTGCTATGGGGGACAACACTGGAGACACAGTACAAGAATTATGCCAGATCTGACTCCACCACACCAGGGCAAAACACGGAGGACGTGCAACAAAGCAGCAAGGAGAGCAAAGCAATGAAATCCCCAAGGAATCCCAAAAATAGACTTCAGGGGCAAGGCATCAGACTCAACCAGAAAACACTCATAAAGATCAACAGACAGACCTGGAACTACTTATTTTAGGAGTTTCTTTTTTGTTGTTGTTTTTTCTTTTCGCATGTCTATCTAGATAAGATAGGCAAGATAAATGATCCCAAGGAGGAAACAACTACACCAATGGTTCTGGGGAAATATGCGAGAGGGGAGGTAGGGGAGAGGAAAGGGGAGCCAACAAACCCAGGCGCAAAATGTAGCTGAGAGGAATTACCAAAACCCGAATGAAGGTTGAACATGATAGTGGGGCAGGAGGAAAGTAAAAGGAAATAGAGGAAAGAACTAGGAGGCAAAGGAGATTTACAGAGGTGTAAATATAGGCACGTACATATGTAAACATATTTATATATAATGATAGTGACATAGTTCTATGTGCACATATTATATGTTAAATAATAAGGTAGCAGACAGACATTGGACCTCTATTCAAGTACTGCCCCAACACAAGAACTCTTTGTTCTGATAACCTGGCATTCTGTGATGTTCACCTTCCCACCATGATTGCTGAAGACAAAATGGGTGTATAAGCAAATGTGGTGAAAAAAGCTGATAGTGCCCGACTATCAAAAGATATAGTGTCTGGGGTCTTAAAGGTTTGAAGACAAACAAGCAGCCATAGTTGAGAAGCAACAAAGCCTACATGGAAAAAGCACACCAGTCTGTGTGATCATGAGGTGTCAATAGGATCAGGTATCAGAAGACCCAGAACAATCATATGGATGCAAAGGAGGTGGGG